CACAAATTCGAATTTCGTCACTGGTGGGATTCGAACTCTTGTCTTACCACTTGGAGATATGACAACTTACTAACTACACTAAGTCACCACACCCATCTAATTTAAAATTAATACTTATTTAACCAAAATATAAAGTATGTCAAAATCTTTTGGAAAGTATATTAATTTTCTCCTATTAGAAAATGATATAAATGTATTCTTTATGAGTGAATTCAATAATATATAGTAAATTTTGTAATTTACAGATTTTATTATCAGGATGATACTGAAATTAGAACTTATTTGTTTAGAGTTGAGTTATGATTTAGAAATAGAGTTTATAATAAAAGAGTATAAGTTATTATTAAGTAGATTTAGTATATTTTAAATTAGACTGTAATTAGATTTCAATATTATTTCTAATATTTATTGGCACATTAATACAGTTAAAGAATGCTTTTATATTTAAACAAAAAAGTTTCTATAATTCTATAAAATTGAAAACATTTTATATAGTGCTGAGCTGATCTAAAATAAGCAGTAAGAGTATAGCATTAATAAAATTTAAAACTTATTTTATAGTATATTAGAAAAAAAAATTGTTTATTGTAGAAATATGTAGTTAATAACAATATATTCTCTTTTCAGTTTTTTTGCTCTAAACAATTGATAATTAGAGCAGGCTTCTGATATTATATTTTATAATTTTAGACTTAGCATTAGACCTAAAATCTACAAATTTAGTGTGGATTACATTTTTTTTTATATACTGTATATTGTAATATAGCAATACAGGGTCTTAGTAAAGCTATACTACTTTATTTAATATGTAAGAGGGTTAAGAAATGTGTTTGCAAATAAGAAAAGAATAAGATAAGAAAGAAAGTTAAACGAGACTTTAAAGTAAGACAATAAACCAAAATTAAAGAAAAGAAATAATGGCTCTAATCCTAAAACACAATAGAATACTCAAGAAAAGAAAGAAGAGGCGATGGTTCAATTTAATATACCAAAAATAAATACTCAAAAAAGAAAAAAGAGGTGATAGCTCAACTTTAAATACTCAATAAAAACACAATAAAAGCTTTATTAAACACAATAAAAAGAAAGTAGGCAATAGCTACACTTCCAAGAAAATAAGTTGTAATTAACAAGAAAATAAAAGTGAGGAGGAGACAGTCTGCTCTGCTATGAGGAAAAAGGCAGGGTTTTTATATTTTTTGGACTATTAGTAAACAATCCAGTTAACGACCTAGTTAACGACTTAGTTAATGATTCAGTTAACAACCCAGTTAACGATCTAGTTAACGATCCAGTTAACGACCCTTTTAACAACCCAGTTAACGATCCTTTTAATAACCTAGTTAACGACCCTTTTAACAACCCAGTTAATGACCCTTTTAACAACCTAGTTAATGATCTTTTAAATGACCTATTTAACAACCAGTTAATATACTAGTTAATGTATCTGTTAACATACCTGTTAATGTATTAGTTAACGTATCAGTTAACGTACCAGTTAACATACCTATTAACGTACCTAATATTATACTAAAATTAACACTATTTGTCAAAAATTTTATTATTTAACTAAAGCTAAAAATAAACATATAATAAATACAAATTATACTAATAAAATATACTAATAAAATCTTCTAAAATATGCTAATAAAATCTACTAATATAACAATATATGTAATTTCATATTTGATAATAATACTGATATAACAATAAATTATTTTATTATATTTTTATTCTTAGTTATTTTTGATAAATTAATTATTAAAAACTATTCTAACAGAATTTCATATCTTGCTGCCTTTAATAGCAAATTATTAACATATATATATGGGTCAATCAGACTCAACAATTTTGCTAAAAAAGTTGTCTTGATTTAGGTTGGGTTCAGGTTGATTTATAGTTAATATTTGCTAAAGGTAAATTCTGCAATTCTACTAGATCCAATTAATTTAAATAGCTATATGTTGTTTATTATTATAAAATACAAGGTTGTTGAATTTTTTTTATAAAGGAATATAGATTTTATAAGTTCATCACTAAGATATACTAATTTTTAAATTCTAAATGAATAACGGATTAGTATTGTTACAAGTAGACTATAGCCTTCTTAATACAGCACAAGTAACAAAGCATATAGCTATAGAGCTTCATTGCAAGATTATAGCAGTATAGAAGTAGAATATTATTTTACTAAAGGCAGTTCGTGGAAAGTATATAGTTAAAGAAAGATATATTTTATTTATAGTATATAAGACTTTAATTACAAGAAAGGATCCTATAACCAAAGAGGTTTCTGTATCTATTTGAGTCTATTTAAAGATAATTCAAACTAATTGGCAGGAAGGGAGAAAAGCCAGAGTTTATATATCTTTTCCTAAATTATCTAAAACTAATAAAAATAATAAGAATTGATAAAAACGATAGAAACAGTAAAAATAATAAGAATGATAAAAACTATAAGAACAGTAAAAATAGTAGAAACAGTTACCATTCTATCAGTTTCTAATACTATGCACAACTAACCAATAATATCTAAGGTTAAATGATAATACAATAATAAAATACAAGATAATAATATAATAATATAATAATAATAATATAATTAATAATAACTAATAATCTTTTAGGTCCTGTCATATGTCAAGCAGATTCAAGACTAAAATATATCAACTGTGTATTTTTAAACAGATCTTTACAAGAAGCAAAAGAAAGAGAACCAGATGATATAGATCTTATAGCAGCAATCTGCTCAGCAAAAAATTTAGACGAAGAAATATTCAAAATGTTATTATTATTTAGACAAGTAAGAGAAGCACTTTTAGCAGTTAAAGACAACATCTCAGATAAGGTTTTACAAAACTGGCGAGAAAAGGCAATGATAACTAAACTGAACTCTGGCTCTATTGACTACTTGGCAAATATGAGCTTAAAGGAAATAACTAGAGAAAAAAATAAGATGGAAATCATAAAAGAATCCCCAGATATATTCTTGATAGAGAAAAAATCTAATACAGAGAAGAAATAAAAAGTAAAACAGTAACACAAACTTAAGATATGGGAATAGACAGCATACAACAGCAAATGCAAAGATTAGAGATAACAGCCAAACAGCAAATACAAGTTGTAGTTAAACAAAAAGAAATTTTTTTATCTTCAGATAAGGAAAAAGAAAAAAGAACAACAGAGAAAAAACACAAGACAAATAACAAAAATCAAAAAGGGAAAAAAACAGAGCAAGATAGAATGGTAATTTATCAAAAATCTCAAGTCACAGCAGAAGCAAACACAAGCAGACAAAAAAGCCAATTTAAAGATTTGATAATCACAGAAATTCCACTAAGTCAAAGTATGTAGGCTCTAAACAGAAGACCTTGCAGCAACATAGGAGAATACAAGGCAAAGATATCAGCATATAATGTACCAAGTGACGATAAAGAACAACACATCAAAATGATAGAAGGGATGCTAACAGGCAACAAACACCTCAAAGAAGTAAAAGAAACTTTTACAAACTATAATAAATAGGTAAAAGTCACTTTTGACTGTGAAACAGGAAGAAAAGAAGCTATGGAAAAAATAGAAAAGAAAAATTGAGAGTGGTTCAGAATGATTCCAATTGAATTACAGCAACCAAAGCGAAGAAACAACATTACCTACAAAAGTTCAACCACAGTTAAATCCAAAAAAACAGAAAAAGAAAGAAGACAGAAAGAAAGTAGAGAAAAATATAGAATGAGTGATTCTTCAAAATCAGAAGACAAAGAATCAAGCACAGAAAAAGAAGAAAACAATGACTCTACATACATCACAATATGGGATTTACTAAAAGAGATAAACCAATAGGAAGTATACCTGTAAGAAACTAGGTGAATTGGTAAAAATACAAATCAAAAGAAGCTTCTCTAAAGCACTAGCAATAATAAAGCTGCAGAAAAAACTAAACAAAGCAGTACCTTGGGTAATCCCAATTGGTGACGAAAAGCTAGCAAGAGTTACAGAAGGTATAGAAGACTTCGAAAAGAGAGATAGCCAGAGTAATATAATAGCAAAACTAAGAGTTATATCAAGAAATGCATCAGAAGTATTATTACTTAACAACCTAAGAAACAGAGAAGCCAAGTCAGTCTACATACTACGAAACAGTAATAGCAGACAAAGAGCATTAGCAATCGTAGCTTTTGAATATAAAGAAGATAGAGATCAAGCAATATTAAAGTTGGTAAAATATAATAATTGGCTATTAGAGTGGGAAGCTCCATATACAAGAAGAAAAAATGACACAAATAAAAAAAAAGAACCATACCAAAGAAAAAGAGAAGAAGGAGAGAAAAGCGAAACAGGTGTCAGAAACAACTCAAGAAATTACAAGGAACAAGAACTAAGAGAAGACTACTACAAGAAAACCACAAGAGAAAAAAGAACAAGGACATCAAAAGCAGATCATAATACTGAAGAAAAATTTTCGAAGAAAGGAAGTTTAGAAGAAACTTTAGTAGAGATCTTGAGAAGATTGGAAAATTTAGAGCAAAACTCAAAAAGCAAAAGGAGAGTCACGAGACGCTTCTGAAAGGCGATATAGTTAAATTAAAGAAAGGGGCTGCAGAGAGAAAAACAGCCCAAAAAACAATAAAGGAACAAGGTGAAAAGAATATTTCAACACAAAGAGTTTCTGAGAATTTTAATATATTATCAATAGGTTTTCACAATATCAATGGCTTAAAGGCTAATAGAGAAAAATTAGAAAACATTTTAGATTATATAAAAAAAAAAGATATCAATATTATGAGAATAGGAGAAACAAATATATCGGAAAAAGAAGGGAGATTTGCTACTAAGAAAAATAATAATTATAGCAGCTTTTGGGTATCAGCAGATGAAAATAAGAAAAAAGGGTTAGGAGTTAGTATAATATTAAAGTGCACTTGGAAGAAATATATAGTACAAGTCAACAAATATAGTCTATATCTGTTTTTTTTTTTTTTTTTTTTTTCAACTTTGGCAGTCTTGCCAGTGATCCTTTATTAAGATTGTCTTGTTACAGGCATGACAAGATACTTTAAGCTTAATATTTAGGCCTGACATCCCGTAGTTACTTCTAAGAGCACTTTCAAGCAACCTGCTACACTAGGCAGATAAATCTACAAGAGACATATCACGATAAATCCAAAGACCACCTATCCTAGAAAGCCATATCAGACCACCACCCTACAATAGGATATCACCAATCTGATAACATCTTCTCATAGGGAAGTGAAAAAAAGAAAAAAATACTAACACTAATACTAATACTAAAAAGAGGAAAAAGGTAAGAATGAAAGAAAAAAATCTGATAGTCACAATTATAAGCCTGTGTCGGGCTAACAAAAATTACATATTACAAGATAAAGAAGCTCCGTATCTAACTCTATCCTAATAATATATTTAATCCACCCTAGAAAAAAAAAAAAAATAGCAGATCTTAACTAGACTAGACAGAGTAGTAGTAAAAAAGAAAAAACACCAATAGTCTCGAAGTATTGTTTAAACGGTTTCTTTCGGTTGAGACACGTTGCCTAATTATGTTGTCCTTCGGATGTATTCGGTTGCTTAATCCAGACACCTGTCGATTCGTGTTTACTAAAAGTAAACAACCCGTTTTAGGAGGCCAACCTGTTTTGGGTTAGGTAAACAATACTGACTGTTTTAGAGATTTACGTGGCGATCTTTTGGAGGGGGTAAACTGAGACGCCCACTTTTTGACAAAATTTTTTCGAAAAAAGTGGTGAGCTAATGAAACTTTGTGGGTTCTTCCTTGTAAGTTTTATGGTTATATAGGTACTATCTCCAGTTTTTTAATATACTTAATGTTGACCTAGTCGTTCTGTGTTTTCAGAATACCCTTCTGGTTTGGATGCCGAATATAATAGAGGAGTCCACCTAGCAGAGAAGTTTGATCTCTACAAAAACCGTACAAAGTAGTCCACTTCTCAGTTTTATACTCTTGGTACTTCGTCGACAACACACCTACTTATGTAGGACCAAATATATTATCACCCTTTGATGTCTTCTATAGTGCTGACCGTAGTTTGGATTTTTGGAATTGTTGACCAGAGGATCGTCAGAAAGAGTTTTTTTTTTAATAGTTCATATCTGTTGAAATTGACATTGCATTTTAAAAGACTATGCATTATACTAGTAGCAGTATATGTAGCACCAAAGAACACAGAAGTATAAGAAAACATCTGGAAATATCTTAAAGAAAAAAATGAGAAAAAGAAAGAAAGACACCAGTGATATATTATTATGAGAGATTTCAATACGAACTTAGATAACAGTTTAACAAAGATCTCAAATAGAAGAAAAGACAAAAAGACACAGATTATGGATATACTAATAGAGAGAAACTTGGTAAATGTTTTTAAGGAATCAAACCTACTAGACGCTAAATATACATGAAAAAGCAGAGGGATCAAAACCAGAATAGATACAATATGGACAGACAAAGAGTAAAAAAAGGATCTAATCTGAAAAGAAACAGCAGAAGCTGACTTTGTTACAGCAAACAACCATTGTATTATCTGGTGCAGATTAATTACAGGCATTTATATGCGGCATAGAAACATCGCAAGTATAAGAAGATTAAATAAGAAAAGAGTCAATATAGACATCGAAAATATAAGTAAAGAAGACTGGGAGGAGTATAAAACAAAATTAGATAAGGAAGTCATTAAGAAAATAGATAAATTGAAGAAAGAAGAAAAGAAGAATCAAGAAAAGACAAACTTAAGAACAATGAATTAACAATATTTAGAAAGTCTTGAAAGAAAGCAAATAGAAGACTTATAGAATATCATAGAGTTGAGTATTAGAAAGACTACAAGTGCAACCCTTCCAAAGAAAAAAAAAATACCAGAAATCAAAGAAAGGAGTTCTATAACAAAAGTCTTAGCAAAACAAAAAATGATATATGAAAGCTGAGAAACTAATATAGTAAGTTCAAACATAACAGGAAACTAGAGAAAGATAAAATTTGCATAAAGAAAGCTTAAGACCTGATAAATGAGATACAAATGAGATAAAAAATAGAAAGATCCAGTAATAATATAAAAGTCTCAGAAAGCTAGAAAGAAAACCAAGAAACACTCACCTATGAAGAAATAGAAATATGATGGAAAATATTATATAAAGATTGGAAGTGAAGAAGAGAAAAGGTAGAAGAAGAAGAGATTCAGAACTGCATAGAAGCAAGATACAGTATGATTGTCTCAGACCAGAGAAAAATAATTAATAGTTTTCTCGAAAAGCCACATAGAAGTATTAAAATAGATCGCATACTTAAAAAAAAAAATGGAAGGATGAAACTTCTAACAGAAGAGGAAGAAGTTTTGGAAGAAGTAAAATCTCACTTTGAAAAACAGTTCTGAGAAAGAAAAATGGATCTCAAAAGAATGAACAGAAGATAGAAAAAAATATACAGACCAGCAGAAGAAATCAATATAGAAGACTATAAAGATCTAAAGCAAGAAATAATACTGAAAGAATGGGAAGAAGCTCTTAAAAACACAAAAAACAAATCAGCACCAGAGCCAACAGGAATCTCATATCCTTTGCTTAAAGAAGCAGAAAAAGAAGCAAAAGTACTTTTTAGAACATTGGCAAGCAAGTGCTTAACATTAGAGATAATGCCCAAAAAATGGAAATTAGGCATGCTATATCCAATTCCTAAAAGAGAAGATTGGTGTTATAATCTGAACAATGTAAGACCCATCCTGCTGCTAGAAACATTCTGTAAAACAGTAATCAGGGTTTTAAATACAAGACTGAATCGAATCTTAAAGAACAAAGGAATATTAAAAGGAAGAAATTTTGCAGGCCTATCAGGAGAAGAAAGCGCAGTACTAATATATCTAATCAACTGTTTGTTAAAGAACGCAAGAGAACAGAAGAAAGAAATATGGTTACTTTTCCAGAATATGAAGAAGGCCTTCAACTCAGTCAGTATAAAGATGCTAGATTTAGCATTAGAAAGAATCAAGTTGCTACAAGTCACAAAGAACTTCATCTTATAGCTCTACTATAAAAGAGAGATAGAAGTAATAACAAGCGTGAGAAATATAAAGACATTCATTGCAAAAGATGGTATAGACCAAGGAGAGGTCATCTCACCTTTAGTATAGAGGATTTTCTATAATTTATTACTAGTAGCAACCTAGGAGCAGAAAAAAGCAGGACACTGAATGGTAGTAGAGTGGCCTAAAAATATTAGAAGCAACATGATTCAACAAGAGAGTTTGAAGATAGAGGTAATAGCATATGCAGATGATACTATATATATAGCAAGTACTAAAGAAGACTTGGAAAAGATGATAGAAATCGCAGAAGAGTTCTACAAAATTAATGATATAGAGATAAATCTAAAAAAGTCAGAACTGCTAGTTGTAAAGCCAGGAAAAAAATATAAGAAAAGTATTGAAAAGATTAACTTTGGCCTGAATAAAGAAGTAGTAATAGGAAAAAGAGAAAAGGATCTTATACGCTTTTTAGAAATATAGCTAGCAGCCAAGAATGGATACAAGCAAATTGAAGACATCAACAAGAATGAAGTATACACAGTAACAAAGCAAATTAGAAGAAAGAAGACCTCTCTTGCATATATGGTTTACATAAACAATATGGTTCTTCTACCAAGAATAAAATTTAGAGTATAGTTAAAAATCCTACCAAAGCAATGATGCGACCAACTTCAAAGTCTAATACTGAAGCTAATTAAAAACAAAGCTAGAATGCCAAACACTACACCGAATGCACTGGTAATTAAAGTTTAGGGCACAGGGGCATGGGGCATGCCCATGGGCATGCCTTGAGGTCAAAAGGCATGCCCCTATTTAAGCCTAACCCAACCCTAACTCTAACCCTAATATATATATGTTATATATTAAATTTCCGCATATAAATTACTAAAATTTGCGAAATCACGACTCTTTAAGAGAAATGATTCAAGATTTTTTATTTATTTATTCGAATTATTCAAAGAATGTTAAAATGCGTTTAGATTAGGTCATTAAATGCAAACCAATAATTTCTACATCTTGCCGACTGTGTATGCGAAGCTTAAAATTTTGCTTTAAGATCATTTAATAAGAACATCCGAACCTCAAATTAACAGATAAAATATGCAAACGGTCTTTTATAAGGAGTATAGTTTAGAAGTAAAGGCAATTTCAATTTGATTGGTTGCTCACCCTATGTATTCACCTACAAACACTTTCATTTTTTTTTTATTGTCTTTACTATATTTCCGAGTTGTGAATTTGGAAGATCTAATTACATAGCCATGTAAATAGCGATACTACCCAAACCATTTGGGATGTCTCAAACTATGTGATGAATAGCATCATATGATTTCAGGAATAACAATAAGGAGGTAAATACTTGATGCGATATTGTTCATCACATAGTTTGGGATGTCCCAAATAGTTTGGGTAACATTGCTACATGTAAAGAATAGTGATGTGCCATTTATATATTACCAATTTTTTTTAGCGTACAGCACGTACAGTACATATAGTATTTATATATAAAAAAATTTTTTTTTTAAGCAATCCGCGATTCTGCAATATATAAATAATTAAGATTACATAATAAAGTTAATTAGGTCCAAAAATGAAAATAATTACGGATGAGGACCGAAATAAAAATTTTTACATATTGTGGCCCAATATTACAAATAAGGGCCTGTTCGATCTCCAAGCTATACTAAACGACTAAGCTACAAGACTTCATAGTGTCGCCCAGTAACTTTATAATAATTAAACAATACCACTAAAATAGCTTTAAGATGCAATTAATTTTTTAGAAGAAAAAGCTAAAGGTACTATTCACGAATTTCACTAACAAATTTAAGACTTTACAAATTTTAATGCATTGATTAAAAAGATCTTTATACATAAATAAATAATACGAATAAAAAGATTTAATATGCTGTGATTATTTTTAACATTAAACTCCTTTGTATTTATTAGCTAAATTAATATTAATAAACAAGAAGCAAAGTATAAAATATTCATTAAACTTAAATAACTTATTTAAACGATTGATCAAAATTATATTTTTGTGAATTCAACACGGAAAAAATTCTCAAAATAAAAGTGAAAGTCAAAAAACGAAAGTCAAAGAGAAGATCAAAGTAAAATAAAAATTTAAGTAAAGTCATAATGAAAGCCAAAATGAAAGTTGAAGATAAAGTCAAAGCAAGGAGAGTCAAAGTGAAAATCAAAGTCAAAACGAAAATTAAAGTGAAGTCAAAGTGAGTCAAAGTGAAAGTCAAAGCGAAAGACAAAGTGAAAGTCAAAGCAAAAGACAAAGTGAAAGTCAAAACGAAAGTCAAAGTGTAAGTCAAAGTTAAAAGCTTTTTTAGGTCTGTGTTAATCACTAGTAAAGAACCTATTCATTAAAAAAAATTTGCTGATTTTAGTAGATTTTTGATTATTAGCTATCCTTAGCGTGTTCAATTAATTCGCCATATCTGATTAAAGGCGCTAACCATATAGAGACTTGTATAATGCATATGTATTGTTTTTTATGGTCTAATCTAAAAAAGAATAAATCATTAAACGAGTTAATAATAATTAAATATATATTTAAGGATAGAATAATAATGGCAAAAGGAAATTATTTTAAAGCATAGTCCTGCAAGTGCTACTGCTAAGCCTACTAAGTATTAATTGCTACAGCTATTTTGAGACAACCGCTGCAAATTACCAATTATTATTTGACCACGATGCAGCCAGCTTTTTGTTGAAAGTAATTATACGTTCTAATGCCTATGCGTCTGTATTATTCAAAGAGGCGAAGCTAAGAAATATTATTAAAATTAATTAAACATCTTAATAAGAAAATTAAAATAAAAGTATAATACTTATAATGATATTTAATATAGTAATTGTAAAAAAAAGCCTTAAAAATCAAAAGTGCTAATACTTGAAACATCTTGTTTGTAAAATTAATAAAGAAGTTTGCTATTAAAATGTTTTAATTAGAAAATCAAATGAGATTATTTTTCATATAACGTATCTAAAGAATAAAAAAGTGCTGAAATTAACAACCATTTTAACTAACAAGCTTTACATTTTTGTTACCAACAAACTATCAAACCAATTTTTTATTTTGATTTCTTTTCTCTCAATTAAATAAAATTAATTACAAATCATGCAAGCACCTTCAGGTTTTACTCAACTGCTTCCCAGTTAAGGTGATCGATGGATAGGATTTTATCGCTCTGTAGAAAAAAAGACAGGAAATAGATATGTTGCTAAGTGCAAATATTGCTTACTTGAGCAAGAGGGCAAGCTTGAAAGGCTTCACCAACATGTTCTTAGATGCAATAGTTGGCCAGTTTCTGAGAAAACTAGCTATCTTCAAAAAGCTACTGAAAAAACTACTCTTGCTCACAAGCGAAATAAATCTAGTCAAGAAGAGTTAATCGAAACCACATCTGAATTAGCTGAGCCGTCTGTAAGACAAAAAAGTATTTTAAATTGGTGTACTAAATCTATCTCTTCTGTACAATCTGAAAAACTCTATTCAAAATTATTAAATGCTATTATATATGGTAATCTTTCTTTTAACTTTGTTGAAAATCTATATATCCAAGATTTTCTTCAAGAATTGGCTCCCAGTTATCAACTACCTTCTATCGATATGCTGCGAGGACGTATTTTGACAAGATCATTTTCTAACTATGTTCAAAAAAAGTTGACTACTATGTCAACTTTTACTGACGCTACTATTTGTCTAGATGGTTGGACCGATATATCTGAAAACTCTATCTATAGATTTATGGTTCTTAAAGAACATGAGGAACATGTTATTGATATTGTTGACCTATCTGCAAACCGTCATAGAGCATCTTTTATTAAAAACAAATTTCAAGAAATTTTTGTTAGTAATGGGTTTCAAATATCATCTGCAATCGCTTGTGTTACTGACAATCCTTCTGTAATGGAGTTAATGAAAAATCTTCTAAAGGTAAGTAGGCACATATTTGTATCAATTCACATACTAAAATCAAAAATACAAAAAAAAAAAAAATTTAAAAAATAAAATTCTAAAATTAATTAATTTTTTTTTTTCTAGAGTGAGCATCCGAATATCATTCCTATTAGATGTTGCTTATATGCATTCAATCTTATTGTAAAAAATATCGTTGGCTTTGCTAGTATTGTTTCTACTTGTAATAATAATCAAAACTTGTAAATTTCTTTACTGCTTCGCATATATGGCAACGGGCTCTGCAAATTTGGCAAAAAGAACAAGGCATCCCTCATTTTTTGAATACATTTTGTGAAACAAGATGGTATTCTATTGTTAAGGTTTGCCTGGGTGTAGCTGCTTTTGAGGATGGTTTTTGACATTGTCTTCAGTTAAGAGAATCTGATAAAATAAATTATTCTAAAATAAGAGAAGGCATTAAAAATATCATCAATAGCAGATATCATTATGCCACTAATGACATATTGATAAAAATTATTAAACCAGTAGTTGATGCAATTGGAAGGCTTGAATCAAGAGACACCACTTTGGCTGATGTTTTTAAAGAATTAATCTACATCCATCTTGAAATATCCAAACTCGAAGAAGACTCCATTTCTGGCTTCAAGGCTCATGCACTGACTGTTATCAGCCGAAGAGCAAGAGAATTTTCTAATGATATTTATTTCATCGCCTTGTTTCTTTCTCCAGTTTACAAGAGTATGGCTATTTCCAAGCATATGAATGGTGATCGTCTTCTACGCGGATGCTTAGAATTGGCCAGGGTCTGGATGTTTGATAAAAGAGATGCTAGTCTGCTTTTTAAAGAGCTGATTAATTACAAAGACAATAATCCTCCTTTCGATCGTATTAGCCCTAATATTCAACAGTCACCTAGATCTTTTTGGGTAAATTTTACTGGTGGTTCTCCTCTTCTTCGCTGATTTGCTATGAAAGTTCTCGCCATTGTTCCTCATGGAGCTGCTTGTGAACGCTTTTCTCTTCTTTGGGTCTTACTAAAACTAAGACAAGAAATCGCCTTTCTCCTGACACTCTTTCCAAACTTGTCCAGATTAAAAATGAACTTCAGCAAATCGTCTCCAAAAAAAAGCAAAAAGACAAACAAAAAACAATTTCCATACCTGAGCCCTCCGAAGAAAATGTCAGCTTATTTTTTAAAGAAACAGATGATGAATTAGAAGGGCCAGATGAATTAAATGAACAAATTGAAATAGTTAATGTTGAAGAAGAAGCTTCTATTATGGAAGAGTTTTTTGATTTTGAGATGTTTCAAAAAGATCAAAAAGAATTTTCTCTTATCGAAGAAGTTCATGATCCTGCAACAAATATTGTAAGAGAGGAATGGTCTATTGAAGATATTTTACAAAATCAATAATTTAGTATATGATTTACTGTAGTTTCAATAAAATATGTTGATGAAAAGCTATAAATTTATAAATAAAATGTTAATATACTTCAGTTTTATATTCCTAATTTCTGTACATATCTATCAACATGTATATAAGTTGTTAAAGTTTTGTATTAAAAAAAAAAAAGGTAAAATATAGTTTGAATTTGTAGTCTATACACTTTTGTTAGAGTGTTTAGAATTATTTGTATGAAACCGCATAATCACTTTCATGTGGAAATATGATTATAATTACATAACTTGTCATACTTCTTTAAATTTTATTGGCTAATAACTCAAAATTGCATAATTCTCATAATTGCATAATTGCATAATTCACATAATTTGCATAATTCACATAATTTATATAATTTACAATTTGCTATATATAATTTTGCAATTATCATTATATAACTCTGAATATTAATGCTTGTACATATGTACATACATATGTCAATCTAGAGGCTGGACTTGAGTCAACTTGCAGCTTAAAATAGCTATAACTTGAATTAACTCTCGAATAATCTTGTAGCTTAAAAAAATATAGTTTTAACTCAAATTAACTCGAGTCAAGATTATGTTTTTTAAGCTATAAGATGACTCGAGTCTAGTTCTCTACATCATTCATATAATCTTAATATATGATTAGTTTATTGTCATGTGATTTTAAAGGGCATGCCCATAGGGCATGCCTCAACTCGAGGGCATGCCCCTATGGGCATGCCCAAATTTTTAGTCATGCCCTAAACCCTACATTTATAGCAAAAATTACGAAAGTGAAGCTTATTAAAATTTTATATTTAGAAAAAATGGCCACTGAAGTTCCTGATAATTTTGAAACCAAGTTTCAAGTCGCCCTCAATCCAAGTATACATACAATAAATATTAAGTGGAGCGATACGTTCGAAATGGTTAAAAGTAAAATTGAGAATCAATTAAATACCCCGTTAGTCATATTGCTAATATTCAAAATTTACAACCAGGAGAGAGATTTTCTAGAAATTTTACTCCTGAAGAATTTGAAAGGACAATCTTTATTATAATTTTATAGAAATTTTTTTTTTATTCACATTATGTAACAGTGATATATATATTTTTTTATTTGTATATTATTATTCCGGCAATATAATTTTTTATAATAAAGGGAGGGGGCCTGCTGGGCTCTCATTTTTTATTTTTATGCGATTTTTTATTGCGGAATAATGGTTCTTTGAACCTACAATATAATTTGCGATTATTAATTAGTAGAGACAAAACAGCACGCGAATTCTTCAACGAAGCAAAAGCAAAATACAAGATAAACTTCCCAATAAACCAGGCAATTCT